AAATATAATAAAATTAAAATATTGGACTCACATGTGATGTACATATCTGCTCAACTTCCTCCTTTAAATGAACAGAAAGGGATACAGAAGCAAAATGTCCAATCGCTGAGACCCCTCTTTCAAAAGACTCTGACACTTTAGACGCCACAGCAAGTTGACTTGAGATAATCTATGAATGATGACACAACTTAGACAAAATGATGTGTGAATTAATGGCAAGAGAAGAAATAATAAAAATAGTTACAGCAAGGATTTCTTTAAGAAGGTCATTGCGGAATGGATTTTGCGATGCATGCTTTCCCAGACATTGGATAGCAGCTTTAACCTGGCTCCTAGATCCCCTTTTAATCATACATACGCATAATGGTACCACCTCTTCCACTACATAATTGTGGTGGAGGGTATCTGTTCAAGAATTATAAAACAAAATTGATATTTGGTTTTGTTAATTAAATTCTTAAGTGAAAACAAACAACAGAGGAAGATACCTAAAGTTTTCACATCAGCCATGCTATTTAAACAACGCACAGAGAGCATAGAAAGACTGCTGTTCTTTGACTGGGCCCACTGCAGAATGTGATCCAAAACATGAGAATTATATCCCAAATGAGGCAACATAAACAGGATTTCCTGGCAGAATTCAGAAGGTTAAAATGAAGATATGGCACGTTTAAGATTCACAGGAATATTATATGCTGCAACAGTCTCAGAAAAATTACGTTAAGCAGATGAAGGGCTGTCCTTGCAACATGGAGACGATTTAAATTCATTGAAGATGCAATCTCATGCCCCTCAACACATGATTTCACCAAGGACACTAGATTCTGCAAAATGTCATGAGTAAAATTTCAGAGAATTTTATCAAAGTTACTGTAGAACATCTAAGTAAAACTTAATTTTGGAAATACATACCATCATTGCACTGGCATCAATTGTCAATTCTGTTAGGTAATAGAGAAGTCCGTCAACTATTTTACAATTTTCATAGTTTTCAGGTGGTACAAGGAGTTTTTTGACAGCTTTCTAAAGTCAAAAACAGAAAAAAGATTAATAATAAACGCAAGATATTTAATTAAATTGGACACCAGAACTACACCTACAGAAAGCATGGGTCCATCTTCACAAGTTATATTTTTTGATACCAAATTAGTTAGCAAAAGCCGTAATTTAGGAGAAGCACCCAGGGCTGCTCCAAGAGTTTTAGTTGCATAATGGCAGTATGTCTTTCCATGCACAAGGTAAAAGTCTAGTTCACATTTTTGCTTATGAAGATGCATGTTATGGAGAGTAAATGTATCTTTATCCTTCATGATGTATAGAATATTATGTACCCTGCTCCGAGCTCTGCAAATACTCAAAAGCATAAAATTGCAAAGTAGCCCATTTGTCGTATAGCTATTTCTTCTTTCAAAACAAGACAGTGAATGTTACCAACCGTTTGATTTTCAAAAATAGTTCATGAAATACACTCCATTTGCCTTCAGAATTAATCCACAAGTACAAGAGCATTTTCATGCGTTTTTCAGCAGGAAAATCTAATGGCACCAGATGCTTGACAAAGATTTTGCGGAGTAAAACCCTACAACATTTGAGAAAATTTCAGAAGAATAAGAAGAAAGAGGCTTAAATTAATTAAAATAGGAGATCCGTTTTGAAAAAACTACCAATCTTCATTGGGTGGGGTGAATGAACTGCAGGTACCAAGAAAACAGGAAATAAGTTGGCAGGAAATTTCACGATTTTTCAGCAGAGTCAAGTTCTCTACTCCTGCTCCAGCAATAAGTTTATAGGCCTTAGCCATTTTTAGGATAAGTATCTCTCTCGCTTGGTCAAATCGCTGTATGAGGAAAAGAATGAGATATAACTACCAAAACTAGAAAAGAGAATGAAGTTATGATATATTGGATCCTGAAGGTAAAGAACAATGCCCACAACAAACCTCATAGATGGTATTAGGAGTCAATAGCTTTTTAAAAAGCTCCATCAAGGGCTCAATGTCTTGGGAATAATATTGTAACAATGCGTCTGTCATTCCAGTTACAAAAGAAATTTCCACTTTCAAATCCAGAACATGTTCAAAGAAAAATGCCAACAAACTGCACCAGTCCATACGAGCAGCTGGCTGACCAAGGATACTACAAGTGTGCTTCCCGAGAATAAGAAGTTGAGATTCACATGTAATTATCTCTCTGCAACTGTAAGGTGAAAAGAAACATTAACCTGCTATTGCTGATGGAAATAAGCACTATGCAAAAGAAAAAATGAAAGAGATAAACGAAACTAAGTTAACATACTGAACTAAGAAGTTATTCCACAATGTTGTGTAGAAGTCTGGTCCCACTGTAGATTTTGAGCCAAATAATTCGCAGAAAAATTTCAGACCAGCCTCGTGATCTTCTCTTCCAGGCATAAAGCAAAGTTCTGTGTTATTGATGAAGCCTAACACTAAATATTTTTCAATGGACACCAATTCAAAAATCACTTTGTACACATGATCCAATGATAAGTAGGGATTATCACCAGTTTGCAGAAGGACCGGGTTTAACCTCTGTAAAGCATTTAAACAAGTCGCGAAACATGTGAAAAAAAAAATCCATAAATGTCAGAAGTGATAACATTTTCATTGAGAGTAAAACAGGTAACTAACATTTCTTATAGCATCCTTCACCTTCCAGCCACAAGTTCTCAACACAATTTCCACTGCATTTTTAGAAATTGAGCATGAAGGTTCCACAAGTTCCATAAAAAGTAAATCTAAAATATTATTTAAGGATGATGATGATGATGGATGCTCAATAAGATCAACTATACAAGTGACAGTACCTGTCACAACCATATCAAGTGCTACACTTTGGTCTAATAGACTCTTGCTAAATGGGGGGGAAAAAGATAATTACAATATTATGTTAAATCAGGCTACTAGATAAATGGTTTCTTGAAAATCTCACCTGACAGATTCAAAACAATGCTTCACAAATCTTTTGAATAGCTTAGAGTCCTTTTCTGGTGTAGGTAGTAAAAATGGTACAAGAAGGTTGTTCCTTACAAAATGTTTCCAGATTTTAATTAATAGTATTTTCTCAGGCGGATTTCTAATTAAATAAAAGTTCCTAACTAACTTAGTCAAGATTATCTGGACAGTAAAAGGAAAAAATCAAACCAAAACCTTAGAATAAAGTTCAAGTTTCAGACTAATCGACACAAAGACAAGGGAACTAGAAAAAAAAATACAAATTATCAGAAATGAATGGGTACAATTTTACCTCAAGTACAGGCGAATCACTGAAATTATCTTGACAAAGATGCATCACAAGCACTGTTCCATAAGACCACTCTAACGCTGCCATTTTATCCTCCTTTAATTCTTCCAGATGCATTTTTACAGACAAGATTTGGGAATTGTGCGCAGAATCCAAGTTTACAGACTGCTTTACCCATTTTTCAAGTTCCTTGAGTTCACTCTACAGTTTAAAATAGAAAATGAAGAGTAAAAGATCTAAACGAGAAAAACTTAAATTTCTGAGGAGAGTTGAATTTTAAGGAGTCTAGAATATGGTTAACCATGACTGCCGTACAACACGATCAGCCGGAATAAATGTGTACTCCTTTCATAAATATCATCACTAATGAAAAACTCCAACTTTCTGTTATGAGTACCTTAAGAATATCACGTTGCGTCGAACTGCTCGTCATCTCCATCTGCATTATGCAAAGAGCAAAGAACAGAACTTAAATTCAATCTCGCACTGCACTACCTCAAACAAAAAATGTTCCCAACCGTCACAGTCAAATGCAGTAAGTCGTGACCATCCAAAAGTAGCCGCTACCTTTCCAACGGAAGATCGTCGATCGTTGTTGCCAACGTAGTATTTTATTCGGGTAGCTAGATTTTGCGATAGTAAGGAAAATAAAACAAGCACAATGAAACAAAATGTGCGATTATTCAAAATACTGAAACAATTGCTACGCTTAACTACTATCTTGTAAAAGAGCTAAATTTTACTTTGTCAGAAAATGCAAAACCACAGTGGTACCATTCTGTAAACAAAAGAGTGAATTCCCTCTCCCAAGCTCAAGGACCAGCGGACAAAAATTTGAATTCCAAATTTTCTGACCGCTGAATGATACACAAAATTCAAACTAAAGCTAGGAAAATATGGCGAGGAATAGTGAGAAAAACTATGGTAGACTTAATAGACTGTGGCTGGAGAAACAAGGAGGTAAATCCAAACATAACCTTCTTTTGTGTTTGTGTTATTTGTTAAAAAAGAATCTTTAACAGTAGCAATTGACCACTTGTATATTACCTTGCAGTAAAAACCGAGAAAAGACCTAAGTTGTCTGTCCTAAAAACTTCTGACGAAATATCGTATTGGTTACCATCAATTAAAAATGAATTAGATTTTGTTTTGAAAGTATGTACATTACGGTCCTTGTCAAGCGCCTCATGTGTGTTTCCTCCTCACCGAAGGATTTCATAACATCTAATTTCAGCAAACGGAAGTACCCTGCTACACAGAAAAGAAAATAGAAGATTATCGCGATAGGATACGCTACCTAGAGGCTGAATATAAAGCATTTGTAAGGAAACTTCACAAGGTCAATGGCACATTAAAGACAACCCCATGGACAGCGCGTCCATATGAAAAGAGGAGCGTTGGTAGGTAAAAACTTAATCAGATAATTGTACGTCAGAAAATTGTATGACTGTTTTAACCGAAACTGTTCCAGCTTGCTCCATACACATACCAGTATTGCATCCTGTGGACACTGATTCAGGGTCTCAGTGTCTAAACCCCTTGGAAACACCTGTTCTACTGCATGACCATTTGTACGAAGACGGAGAATGTGACAAGGGAAGAGAATCCAGCTGCACAAGTTCTGCTGCAAACGATGAAAAGCCTTTAGAATTCAATGTAATGAGCAGCTCCTCTTTAAGGTACCCACTTCAAGCACCTACCATGGAACATTTCACTTCTTCAACGTCAACAAATATTCTAGGTTTAGACTATAGTTCATCAGATGAAGATAGCTAGCAGCTGCTGCAAATTTTACAGTGTCTTCTGAGTCAAATTTTGTATCATATAATTTTAAAAAAGAATTTCAGTAGGTATAACTTTATTTATATATAAACTTTGCACAATGATCATAAATTTTGTAATTTTGCTTTACAAAATGTACACTGTAAACTTAACACATTGAAATAGCAATCAAAAAATTGTTTTAATAAAGCTATTATTAATATTTTGATGTCATCAATCCTTAATTTACATTGCATACCCTTGAACAAACTTTATCTCATCTAGGTTTATGAAACTAAATCTGTGAGGCAATCAAGGACCTCTAACAGCGTATCGTGATTTTAGATAGGCCACTAAATCTGAAATTCCATCCTGTATAAACCAAAAAAATTTTAAAAAAATGTTCACCTAAGAAGCACACCATTTCACAGAGATGAAAAGGAAACTTTCATTTCATATACTGTATGAACTGATCAATATTGAATACACTTCCTAAAAACTTTTTGAGATACAAGTTTGTTTCTTTTTGTTGAGACATCCAGCAGTTAATTGATACACATGATTAGATAGAGATATTTATATATTTAAATGAAATGAAATTGCAACAATCTATATTTCAGTCATAATTCTTCAGTTTCAATAGAGTAATCCTCAAGTAAGAAACCAAGGCCTTAATTTCTTACATACAACAAACTGACAGATTACGAAAATAATTCATGAAACTGATAGCAAAATCTACATGTTGAAATGATACAATTTAAATGTATTGCTTAAGACATATCTATATAGGTACATATATTACAGGGATGCTAACCCAAGAACAATAACAATTTTCTTAATTTTACTAGAATGTCACGAATAAGGCACACCAAACTATCATTTAAAATATACATATGCATCTGGTAAATGAATATCTGTTCAAGGTTGATGATTGACTTACATTAAAACTTTGAATAATGATGGTTAACCTCCAGTGTCGTTAACATTAGAATATATGGTATGTATCATGCACTCAAGAAATTGCTGACTTGTTCCCTAAGTGGAGGTAAATCAGAGGCGGACAACGAGTTACACACTTTCATGAATGAGCATAAGTAATACTACTCTTGTTTTTTTGTCTGAATAACATCTAGTACTCAGAGAAAATACACTAGAAACACAGAAGCCTCCTTAAAGGCTGCAAAAGATGGACCATGTTCATGCACTTCAGAAAATTGGGACACAACTGCATTGAAATAATTGTCTTTAAAGATTCAAATCAGTGTTTACAGAAGGGCATAAAGGAGAAACATAAATAAGAACAGAAAGTTTTATCAGAGCAGAGGGGAGGAAAATGGGAAAAAGACTTTGGATTAGAGTCTAAATTTTTTTTAAAGAATTAAGCCAAGAAAACCAAATCACAAACAATCAGAAGGGAACTGCCCAGACTTGGATTTCTACAGTAATATGGTAATGAACTCCATAAAAATGATTACTAAAATTTGCATAGCGTTTAGAGAAGGCGGTGGAAAAGAATTTGATAGACAATACCACATGCAGTTGTCAGGTAAATTTTAAAATACAGTTTAGTATGACATGTATTAGTTCAGTGTTTTTTTAAACATTTAATTAAGGATCACAGGTTGTTTCCTTGTAAAATTGGTGATAGAGATTCTAAAAAGAGTTTATCTTTCCAAACTAATTCAAACATTTGCTACATTTGATGAGCTTAAATGTAAAATACATAGAAAATGAAAAAAAGTAATTAGAGCACCAATGTTGCCGGCTAAACATTTGCTGACAATTCTTACATCACACTGCATATTTAAACAGCAGAGTTGAGCCTTCTATATGATTTAAAACATAACAATGGTTGTTTAAAAAGCTGTGGCAAAATTTGAAAACTCTCAGAATCACTCAGAGTAAATAAATTTGCAAATATGTTGAACACATGCAAATTTTGGATGAAGAGAGGCTTAAAATTCAGTCTGACATGAGGGGTGGATTACCTTCTAGAGGCGATTGGACAATTGGGCTGGTATCCACAGTAGCTTCACTATTGTTTACCCCTGTTGGCGAATCTACCTCGCGTCTCATACTTTCTACACCAGGAGCATTAACAACATCGGCGTCAGATTCCACATTGACTTCACGGCGGCTGTGATCACCACTGACCAAGTGAGTGGGCATGTTCATAGTTGGTGATTGAGCCATGCCTGAGCCCACTTTACGGGCCTTTTCACCTTTACGCCATAAAGTTATTTCCTTAGGATAAAATATCAATGATAAAGTGATCCAGTAATTTAAAAAACCAGTATCATGCATGTATCATAAACTAGACAGCTATCTTACCTGTTGCTTAAAGTATCTACGATCTTCATCATCCATTAATACAAGATTCAGATAATATCTGACTGAGAACTTCTTATTGATATCTCTCATAGTTGGTGTCAAATCATAACCAGCCAAGAATACCCGAATTGGTATGCTCTCTCCTTTAACTGGAGCTCCATCCATAATTTCATACTTTGCTATGGTTTCATTCTCCAGGTAAGAGTTTGGACCTATAGAGACACCTAAGATCAGTTGTCTTATTTAATAAAAGTACTGGACAGACGCCAACATCCAACCCCAGCCCGACAACCTCCCCCAAGACAAAGATGCATGAAAGACAACAAAAGTGAAACCCTGTCTCGCACGCAATTCAAATTTAAATCATTACCCCTGAGAGTATAGCCACATTGACAACAAACTGTAAGGACAGAAAGCTTCCCACATACAAAACTTGGTGGACAAGATGCGTTAGGATTTAAAAAATAAACCACAAATTCAGGCATGCATTAGATGGGTTTGTAACAAGATACCATACCAAGACACATACACATAGAAGACAAAACCACATAATCCCATTAAAAAAAGATTTTTGAAACTTTTTGTAACATTTTTTGCATACAATTAACCCATTAAAATAAACCATTTTGTAGGCTTGATTGTTGGCAAATCAGTTACAAGCAATCTCTTACCTGAACCAGTTGTCTCCCTTTTGATGATAGCGATTTCCATGTGCTTTATTTTAATTCTCACCAAGAGGAAATAAATTTTCCCCACAATAACATCTTTTAAATGGTATCTGTGACAAAAGCCTTGTTAATTGGTATGCATAAATTTTGAGGAAAAGAACCTGGAGAACAATACTCACTTTGACTTGTTGTACTCAAACTCTATGTGCAAACAGTCTTCAATCCCAACCTCCATTTTTATGCTGTTATTAGCATCTGGATATGATGAGAGAGTGTGCACAACAATGTCCACTTCCTTTACAATATCAGAGATTCTTCGTACTATGGTAACTCTCAGAAAGTACCTGTAAAAGGAATATGCTTAAGCAAAAGTCTTGAACAAGGAGTGCCATAACACTGTGCAATTTAACCATATTTACCTAAGTCTGACATTAGACCCAGTGTATGATTCAAATGGTTTTTCAACATTCTGGAACTCAAAACTATAAGCTGTATTTTGCATTAACTCTCCTGGACGGGCCAAGTCTTTGACAAGGGATGTAAATTCATGATGATTTCCACGGTCATAGAACAAATCAATCTGACCAATAAATTCTATTTTGATACCTTGGTGTTCAAGTTTGCTACCTGGCTTCTTAAGGGCAACATTCACCTAAAATACAAATAAGAGACAAGAAGAAAACACATTTAAGAATGTATGCAAAAACCAAATAATGGTGATGATATTGAAATGAAATTGACAGCTTCAAAACCAAAGCACCTACTTTGCCTGAGACAGTTTCTCCGTCATAATACAGCAGGTGACGTTCCTTTTTTCCTTCCTCAGTTTTGATATCAGCAGATTTCCTGCTTTCAACTCCATCAAGGACAACATCAATATCAGCACTTTGTCCAAATCCAAATAGACTTTGCTGTTAAGCAATAAAAAAAGAAAAACAACAAGTTAAGGGAAGTCATATGGCCTTTAGAACTTACATAAGGGACAATGTCAATGAGCCAATTACTGACAATAGAAACTGATACCAGCAGGTCAGTGTCTCAAAGAAAACAACATCTTTCTAAAAAGTAAATGCAAAACATGCTAGAAAAAGGGAGAAGTCTAGGGCAAATAAGTAGGATATCAATTTAGATATATGATATTAGGCTCTCCAGAGTCACTGACAGGTGACACACGCATACGACTGTTGAAGCAGCCATTCAAAATAAAAAAATAATTCAGGTTTGGAATTTTAAAGGGTAAAACCAGTAGGAAGGGGAGGTAAATGCCTGAATGAGTGAATAAGCAATAGGATGTATCACACCTAACCAGTAAAGTGAATGCAGCTATGAAATGTTTACTTTTTCTTACCATTTTGTTAGTTAGCGACGACTTTGAAGCGCAAGAAGAGAACTAAGATAACGAAGTCTGGACATAAACGGCATACGTAATGGCTGGGATGAATGGAGTTGATGGAGTTCTTAAACTTCAAATAGACATGTCAGATTACAACCCTAATACAGGGTTAAGGGCGGCCGATGCCGAACTTAGAAAAGTGGTCTCTTCTGGTCGCCTCCTCTTTTTGTTCTGCCACGTAATTTCAGAACATACCCCGCGTCATATTCATATTGACTTTGCTGGGGACTGCAAATAGCAGCAAGTAGTGTAGTGGCTCTATATCTGCAAACAACTGCAAACTGCTGCAAACAGAGGGAAGCTGAAACTGTAAAGTTAAACTTGACCCTTGACAGATGTGTTTTGGACCTGTTTATTTGATTTTTGAATATTAATGTCAACTATTCTCATTTTGAATAGTTACTGCCTTACGTGTGAAGTGCCTTTGCCCACTGTCATACATGTCTTCAATGGGTATTTCAAGAAACAGAAAGGGCCCGGATAAGGTAAGGCTATATATTTTTCAGAATTAAAATAATTCTTCCAATTTTTTTTTATTGATGTGTGTTACAACTTAATTCTATAGAAAATTATGCATATAGCCCAATTTTGTGTCTGCTTTCAGATTCCAAGACACAGAGGCCTCTTCTTGTCACTCTTTCTTCTTATAATTTTGGTTCTAATGGTCAATTTTTATTTTGCGTTTGTTATGAACTCAGACAGCAACAAGCTGCTGAGTCAAACGGAACCATCTAAAATTGTAAGTTAACCTGCACACACTGAATGTAAGTTCATAAACTTTGGATCGTAAAACAGTGAAGTTTTTTTTTCTTTCAGTTTTATGCTCAAAGCAAAGTCTTTTCATCTACCATCAGAAATGTAATATTATTGGATTCACCTGTTAAAGAAAATTATAATAGTGTAGGAAATATTATAAGAAACGCATCCTCAGATTTTTCTTTTAAAATTGAAACACTGGTCAAAAAAATTTCTTTTAAATATTCCAAGTTATCGCCATTTCTTCACAATGAAATAAGTAAACTGTGGACTTATTTACAACCTTCAGTGGGCACCAGTACTCAATTGTGGTCTGTTGCTAAGGAGGTGAGGAGTGTACTCCTAAATCTCAAAATTTCTGATCTAGTCATATTTTTATCTCTTTATTTCTTTTTAGTGGGTGGGAGCAAGGAATATTGTTCCAGCACAGGCACCTCTATTGGGGAGTGTATTAAAAACTATGAGTTTTGCAAAAATTGTTAAGGCCCAAAATGCTCCAGGAGGAACTCAGCTGAAACTATTAATTACTTTTGAAGGAGGACAACAAGCTTTGTTTAAGCCTCAATGGTTGGTTGCCAAGGGCAGTTTCTCAATGTCTGCATCTTCTACTTGACATATTTACATTTCTGCTCTCAATATGATCCTTAAAGGTACAAGAGAGATGAGGTTATTGAAGGACCTGTTTATTCAGGCAAAGACCGTCATAATGCTGAGGTAGCTGCTTTTCATCTTGCTCTACTGTTGGGATTAAGAAGAGTGCCAATAACAGCAGCAAGAAAAATTAATCTTCATACAGAAATTATGCCAGTGGCCAGTAAATCACTATTAAAAACTTTTACAGTGGATGGTATGTTTGTGATGTGAGCTTTGATAAAGGAACCAAGTTATTAAAGCCTGCCTCCAGTAATTAATTTTTGTTCCAGGAAAGAATAATACATGCTTTTATGGCACTTGCCACTATTGCAGTCGCAGTGATGCTGTCTGTGGGAATAAGGTATGGTTAGAGGGTGCTGTTATCCTAATGCTGCCTAGCAACTTTAAATTGAAGCATTTTAGAAGCCCCTGGCAAAGGACTTACAAGGAAAACAAGGCTGCTAAGTACGTCACATATGCAGTGGCTTAGCTGTACAGATGAGTAATAATAAAATTTATTTACCTTTTTCTTGTTTTTGTCTGTGTAGGTGGGAGATTGAGAGCAACTACTGTGAGAGTGTGAAATCAAACAAAATCTATAACCCTCAGAGTGGTCCACGATTACTTGATTTGATTGATGCTGCCATATTTGATTTTCTGATTGACAATGGGGATAGACATCATTATGAAGTTCGTGGTAATGTGTCAGGTGCTGCTGTTTTGTTTATTGACAATGGCAAAAGGTATAAGAACAAAACACATTTTCGCCTTGAGGTATTCCTTTTTCTGCCAGAGTGTAATATTTTCTTTCCCTATTAAAAACATATTATAGCTTTGGCCATCCTTTTCAAGATCATTTGGATATTTTGGCTCCTCTATACCAATGCTGTGTGTATGTATTATTTGTATCTTAATTTTTTTCTAGGTGATTAAAGTACTTATGCAAAATATTGCTAATTTGCAGCCCTAACTGTGTTTGTGCCCTTTCCCAGGCTTCGAAAAACTACATGGGAAAGGCTGTTGCTGTTTGCTGGTGGTACACTAGGAGCAGCTCTTGAAAAATTGTTGACTACAAGCTCCATCACACCTGTGTTGACAAGCTTTCATCTAACTGCAGTAAATCGAAGACTTCGTGCCATATATGCAACAGCAGAGTTCTGTTTTCAAAAGTATGGTATAGCTCATGTTCTTACTGATGATGGGTATAGGTAGCATAAACATATTGCTACTGAACTGATCAAATTTAATGTAAACCTCATTTCATTTGTGCAGGCACACTGAATTTGTTTGTTATTTATATGGTCTTTATAAAATGTATCTTACTGAGCAGGTCTCATTTCTAGCTCGCCCTTTTGCTTGGGAAAGCAATTGAGCTGGCATTTGTAACAATATTTGTCAGAGGGGCAGGCCTAGCTTGTTTTTGTAATTATATAACAGGACCTTTGATTTATTTGTCTGTCTTTCTCTGTTTATATTTAACTTTCAATGTCTTCAATGTTCAGTCTCATGTTTTCTGTATT